AAATCTCCCAATCTATGGAGATTAAACACTATTCATCGAGTGGAAGAACTGAAATCTGTGATCAGAATGGGACCAATATGGGCATCTGGGATCCTGCTCATCACAGCCTATGCTCAACAAAGCACCTTTTCCCTCCAGCAAGCCAAGACCATGGACCGACACCTCAGCAAGTCCTTTGAGATCCCTGCCGGATCCATGTCCGTCTTTACCATGGCCTCCATGCTGTCCACGGTCGTCATCTACGACCGCGTCTTCGTCCACGTCGCCCGCCGCTTCACGGGGCTCGACCGTGGCATCACCTTCTTGCAGCGGATGGGGATAGGCTTAGTCATTTCGATATTAGCCACTCTGGTTGCTGGCTTCGTGGAAGTGAAGCGGAAAAAGGCGGCTTTCGCCCATGGGCTTGAAGATAAGGCCCATTCCATCATCCCCATTTCAGTGTTCTGGCTAGTCCCACAGTACAGCCTACATGGGATAGCTGAAGCATTCATGTCAATCGGTCACATGGAATTTTTCTACGACCAGTCACCGGAGAGCATGAGGAGCACCGCCTTTGCTCTGTTTTGGCTATCGATTTCCATGGGAAATTATGTGAGTACCCTTTTGGTTTCCTTAGTGCACAAGTTCAGTGCGAAGCAGGACGGTTCGAATTGGCTGCCGGACAACAACTTGAACAAAGGAAAGTTGGAGTACTTTTATTGGTTAATTACTTGCTTGCAGGTTTTTAATCTTATTTACTACCTTTGTTGTGCCAAGAAATACACACTTAAGCCAATCCAGTTTCAAAGTAAAGAGAGTGACTCCGAAGAAGGTAGATCAGTAGAGCTTGCCAATAAAGTTTAATTTATTGGTTTGGATCTTGTACATAAAAATGCTTCCTGCTTTTCTCTTTTGCTTTGTCAAGGTAGCGTCTTCTCTTTCCCCAGTGATAGATAAAGTAGCTAGGCCAGACGTCTAAGTAGTTTTTTTCTTTTCTTTTTTTTTTTTTCTTTTTTATAAGGGCAATGGTTAGTATGTTAGTATTGTTAGATGTTAGTAACTGGGGATCGAGATCTGGTGAACAGTCCACCAACCTCAATGGAGCGCGTGGCAATCGGGCCGTTTGGTGGAATTCGACGTCTAAGTAGATATGTATCATTAATATAGGCCTGTAAAAATACTTAATGATGAAGGAACTTGACAAAAATAAATAAATAACTTGGTTCCATTCTCAATCACCGTGATTTATATTATTCAACTGTAACCTCCTTTTAAGCATGTTACATTGTTATTCAATAAGAATGTCACTAATAATTATAAGGTTGAATTAACTGACAAATAATTGTTATTTTACAAGTTCAAGTTCAAGTTTAGAAATTAATACCTAAATAAATTAATTTTTTTAAATGTACTACATGTCCATATAAGGATTGCACTACAAGAGGCATTAGTTTTAAAGTGTGTTGCACTACAAGAGGCATTAATTTCAAAGTGTGTGTGCACGAAAATTAATTTGAAAACACCTTAACAAAAGAAAATATAATATAATTGATGATTCAACACTAAAATCCCATTTTTGTAAAAAAATTTCTCCTTACTAATTAAGAGTTTGAATCATATTATAAGTGATTATAAACTTGATGGCAATTCAAGGAGTTATGGTTTAGTAAGGAGTTTGCTTAATTATCATTTTATTAATCAAAGTTGGATTCTTTAGAAAGACTAATGAGAATTAAGCTTGGCAAACGTGCGGGTTGGGTCAATTTGGGTTATGGGTTATACGGATTGGGTCGTAAACAACATGTGGATTGAACTAACTTGACCCTAACAAATTACGGGTTAATTCACAAGTTGACTTTATTTTCATTTTTTATAATCATTTTTATTAATTGTATTATATACAAATAAAATTATATATATCTAAATCTAATTAAAGTATTGTAACTTATTAACACTAAGTACTTTATAGTCTTCACTACTAAAATTCTCCTTTTTAGCAAGTAACTATAAGCACCATGGAATTCCTTGTCGGTGTTATAGATTTTCACTGACAAGGCTCATATTGCTAATACCTATATAGTACCTAATCCCCTAAAAAGTGAGCCCAACTTTCAACAATAAGCGGCACATTGTTGATATCTATATAGTACCCAATGCCCCCAAAAATTAAGCTCAACTTTCAACAATAAGGGTCATGTTACCAGAAGTGAATTTAAATAATTATAAAAGAGTTATAAGTTTTTTATCCACATTATTTAAATAAAATCTTGATTGTTTATTTTTTTATTATGAATAATTAAAATTTATTATCTTTTATTTCATTTTTAAAGATAATTTTTTTATTTAAAAAATTATGATAAATTTCAATTATAAAATAATGACGATCATAATTTTATATAAGTAGATATTAACTCCTCATTAAAACTTTAATTCACATCAAGTGACCTTTATAATTACCATGTGACTAGGTCTGATCATTGTGCCAAAATAAAATCATTGATTTCTCGTGGGAATAATAAAATGCTTCCTTTCAAATATGAATAAAATAGTAGTTGAAACTTCCATTTCATGAAATCCTGCTGCAGGTCGAATCTAAGAATTTAGATTTGACTCTCAAGCCTTCAAGAGTCGACTATAGACGGTCAATATTCGACTCCAAAATTTTAGAGAGTTGAAAAAGTTCTTGGTGCTGGGTATAGTCGACTCTTTTTATTAAGAGTCGACTTTTATTAGAAAAGAGTTGACTTTTAATTTTAAAAGCTAACTATTGGTAAAAAATTGCAATAATTTTATGTAAAATGTCTATGTAGCCTCGTATGCATGTTCACATATTTTTTTTAAATAAAATAGAGTTTTAAATTATTCAAATATGCTAATAAATAATGTAATTATATTAATTAATTTGTCAGATATTAAATAAAATTTAATAAATTAAATAAAACCAACTAATAAATTAGATTTTAGATATTTAAATGAATATTAAAGATTAAAAATTAATTAAAATATAATAATTTTAATCATTCAGTAGTGTGGCAGGA